GTACAGAGAGGAAGGGAGAGAGATAGAGAGTTAGAAACACCGATGAGAGAGAGTCATCGATCAGCTGCCTCTTGCACATCCCCTACTGGGGATATGCCCGCAACCAAGGTACATGCCCTTGACCAGAATCGAACCCGGGACCCTTCAGTCCCCAAGCTCTATCCATTTAGCCAAACCGGTTTCGGCACAAATTTTCTTTAAGTGTAGAATTAGATCAAGCTTTCAGCCCTTGCTGGTTTGGCTCAGTGGATAGAGCCTCTGCCTGCAGACTGAAGGGTCACAGGTTCAATTCCGGCCAAGGGTACATGCCCAGGTTAGGTTGCAGGCTGGATCCCCAGTAGGGGGTGTGCAGGAGGCAGCCAATCAATGATTCTCTCTCATCATTGATGTTTCTGTCTCTCTCTCCCTCTCCCTTCCTCTCTGAAATCAATAAAAATATATTTTGAAAAAGATTTCAAAGGTTTAAAAAAAAAAGCACAAGTATACCTGTCAGCAATAATTCCATCACTGAATAGTATAACCACACTGTTCCATGTATTTAATGGAAGAAAAAGTTTGATATTGTCAAAATCCAGTGGGATGAGGAGCCAGTGTGTAATTCTGTTTTTTGTTACCAGAAGGATAAAAAACACGAAACACTTTAGAGCAGAAAATAAGTTAGTCTGTAATTGAACTAATGATTTCACAGTATGATTTTTAAAAAGAGACATGTGTTTGTAGATTTTAAAAATTACTCATGAGCAAAAAGAAATAAGTGAAATTAAGAAAAACTGAATGATAAATTACTACATATAAAAACCTGTGAAATTCTTCTAAAGTGATAGTTAAAAATTTATAGTCATGCCCTAACCAGTGTGTCTCAGTGGATAGTGTCAGCCTGCAGACTCAAGGGTCTCAGATTCGATTCCGGTTAAGGGCATATATTTTGGTTGTGGGCACATCCCCAGTGGGGGGTGTGCAAGAGGCAGCTGATTGATGTTTTTCTCTCATCGATGTTTCTAACTCTCTATCCCTCTCCCTTCATTTCCGTAAAAAATTCAATAAAATATATTTTTTAAAAATTTATAGTCACAAAATATTTAAGAAAAGTGAAAATTACAGAGCTAACGGTCCAAATAAATAAATATAAAAAGAGCAATCAGAAAGTAAAGAAAAAACAAAAAAAGAAAAAATTACTAAAATAGAAAACAAATTATTCAATGGTGAGACCTGATAAAATCAAAAGCAGGAAATGTATTAGAAATTGATTATCTTAATTTATCACACAGTCACACTATTATATTAGTGGAGAAATAACCCATATGATCATGGCAATAAATACAACGTACCTGGAGAAAAACTCCATAGTCATTCATAAGAAAAACTTTCAGCAACTTAAGAATAGGAAAAAAACTTCTTGAGCTGCAAGAAAAATTTACTAAAAATAATGAAACATTTGCAGAATTCCCTTGTAAATTCAGTAGGAAGACAAGGAAATGCTCCATCACTTTTACTATATTTTGTTGTACTGAAGATCCTAGCTAGCACAGTAAAACAACCTGAAAAATTGCTTAAAATATTGAAAAAGCTAAAAAAAAAAATGGAAAGGAAGAAATTGCCATTATTCCTAATATAATTACTAACAGAGAATTATTAGAATAAATAGAATTCAGAAAGGTTGCAGCATATTAAATCAGTATGTAAATATATGTAAATATTATCAATCCTATTCCCATTTACCAGAAATAATCAGCAACGTGGTTTAAAAGACACATTTCACAGTAACAACAGAAAGGATAAGGTAATTAGGAGTTAACCTAACAAAACAGCTTATAGATTGCATTATTGTGGTTCCATATAGTATAGAAAGTGGTTTCAGTTTTATCATATGGTGATAACTTTTTGATTTTTGTTTGGCTAGTCATTTGTAATGTCATGATCAAGTGTAGTGTCATAAACAACTTATTTTTCTTCCCCCTTTAATGAGTTCTTGGCAAAGACATTACCTTAAAAAAATCACAATTTTCCAGTGCAGAAGAACAGAAAAATGAGGGTAGCGTTGTCAATAACCTTCATTGTTGTCACTGGATAAACTGTTTTATGAATGCACCATGGAAATGGAGTCATACTGCAATCCCTCCAAAACTGAAAAATAGTAAAATAAGGTAAAATAGTTTTTTTCTGTTGCTGTTTATCTTTCTCCTGGCCTTCTCAAGTTCTTCTCCACTATACCCACATTTCAATTATATAATCCTGCAAAACAGTTACAGAGATAGTATTAGAAAAGGTTTATTGCATAGCAATAGTAATAATTAACAATATTAATAATACTATCTAATAAAATGTAATATGCAAATTGTCAATCCAACATATAAGATGGCCACCCCCATGTGGGCAAAGATGGCCACCCCATGTGGACACAAAATGGCCACCACAAGATGGCCTGCAGGGAAGGACAGTTGCTGGGGGGGGGGGACACCCAGGCCTGCATAGTAGGGCAGTTGGGGGGGACCAGGCTGACAGGGGAGGGCAGTTGGGGGCAACCAGGCCTGCAGGGTAGGGCAGTTGGGGGCAACAGGGCAGGCAGGGGAGGGCAATTGGGGGTGACCAGGCTGGCAAAGGAGAGCAGCATGGGAGAGCAGTAAGGGGTGACCAGGCTGGCAGGGGAGGGCAGTTGGGGGCAACCAGGCCTGCAGGGTAGGGCAGTTGGGGGCAACAGGGCAGGCAGGGGAGGGCAATTGGGGGTGACCAGGCTGGCAAAGGAGAGCAGCATGGGAGAGCAGTAAGGGGTGACCAGGCTGGCAGGGGAGGGCAGTTGGGGGCCACCAGGCCTGCAGGTGAGGGCAGTTAGGGGTGACCTGGCTGGAAAGGGAGAGCAGTTAGGGCTGATCAGGTTGGTAGAGGAGCAGTTAGGTGTTGATCAGGCTAGCAGGCAGAAATGGTTAGGGGGTGATCAGGCAGGAAGGCAGGGGAGGGCCGTTGGGCAGGCGAACACTTGAGAGCCAGCAGTCCTGTATTGTGAGAAGGATTTCCAGTTGGATCGGGCCTAAACAGGCAGTTGGACATCAATCAAGGGGTCCCAGATTGGAGAGGGTGCAGGTTGTGCTGAGGGACACCCCCTCATGCATGAATTCCATGCACCAGGTCTCTAGTAATCATAATAATAAGCATAGGCTATGGAAGCCCTTTAGAACAGTATTTGGCACATAAAGATATTCAGTAAATATTTACTCTTATGATAATCTTCAATGATTTGAATCACTGGAAGGAATTAAGTAGCTCTTGCATTTCTTGCCATATCTAAGTACTGCTATCCCTCTGCTCTCCCACCCTCTGCCACTACTGGTTTGGACACAGAGCTAAAGTTGAGGGAAGTGAGGCTATAAGGAATGGCCAGGAAATGCTTTCAGGTAAAATAGAGCTCATTTATTTTCTATGCACTACCACCATCCCCTAAATCCAGAACCCTCTTAGTTGCTACTGTTTTCTTATCATTCATTGACTTACTCATTCAAATATCTGTTTCCCTCCTACTATGTACCAGGCACTATTCCATGGTCATTCATCCCTTCCAGCTGCCAGCACAATGCCTAGTCCATTGTAAGGGCTTCATAGAGAGGTTTACTGCAGAAGTGAAGAAAGGATGGCCTGTTTCCTTTAGATTATAAGGATCTGTGAGGCTTAGATCAGATTTGATTTTAGTTTTTGCATTCTATAAGCTGATGCAAATAGAAGATTTGTTTCTCTGATGTTAAAAACTGGCCTCCTAAAATTCATCCTCTTGCTTGAAAATCTTCCATGGTTGCTGATGCTCATGGATTAAGCTGCATATTCCTTCAGTATAACATTCAAGGCCCTACAACATTCTATCTCACCTCCTAAGATCTAACAAATTTCAGAATTAGAGCCACACTTTCCCTAGAACAAACCTGTCCTGGGGCTTTTGTTCTAGAAACAAAAGTCCTGAAAAACACTCTCTCCACCTCCGCAGGGCAGATGTCACCAACACTCTTTAAGGCTCACCCACATTTCCCTTTTCCTCCCTGAAAGTTCATTATTACTACCCTGTTTCCCTGAAAATAAGACAGTGTCTTATATTAATTTTTTCTCCCAAAGTTGCGCTAGGTCTTATTTTCAGGGGATGTCTTATCTTTCCATGCGCTAGGTCTTATTTTTGGGGAAACACGGGTATCAGGCAGAATGAGTTGGTCCATCATAGGATGCTTCCTAAATGCATGGAACAAGCAAACATTATGGCACCTGGTTTGACTTACTATATTGTCACTGCTTTTGCTAATTAAATTCTCCTACACAGAGAAACACAGAGTTACATAGCTCACCTTATAAGTCCTTCTATGAGCACAGTGCTAGGCATAGCAATTAGGCCTTGCATACACTGTTGTTATTCATCTGGAGCTAAGCAGTTTTCAATGGAAAAGTTTCAAATGTACACAAGAGTAGTGAGAACATTGTAATGAGTCACCATAATACATCATCTAGCTTTAACAATGATCAACTGATGAGCATTTAGTTAGTACCCCCCACCTGGACCCCACGAAATTACTTTTGCGTATACAAAAACATTCAAGTCTGTTTCTTAAAAAAATATAACCCACAATGATCACAACTGCTATACATTTTCCTCCAAAATGTATACACACACTTTGAATAATTACAAAGGCAGTGTTTATTAAAATGCATTTCCTTTTCAAAATTGAGATGTTGATATCAGCTGTTGAAGTGTGTATACATTTTTGGGGGGCGTGGGGAGACCCTGTATATTTAAAATAATTACTTAATGTCATTAAATAGCCAACATTTCATCCAAGCATATTTTATGAAAGAGCTATTTAATGTCTGCATATGCTTTCTTCAATTTTTAAATCGTGGAGAGAACGGTGGGGGTGGGGGGAGGTAGAGAACGGGAAGGCGAGCTAGGAAACGCATAATTAAGTTTCTGAAAGCCAGAATGTCCCAGATGAGAAAGAATCTGACCTGGTTTAGGGTGGGAGAAGTGTATTCTATGACTTCTCCGGAGGAAGAGGGTGCGACTTCAGCCCGGGAGATGCCGGAGGAGGTGCGGAGGGAAGAGGGGTACCTCCGTTTGGGGTCCCTTCTGGATAATCCCACCGTGGAGCTAAGAGGCAGCGCTTTCTTGGAGGCTTGCTTTCTCGCGTGTTGGCAGACGGGAGCGTGGATCTCCCGGAGGGACAAGGTTGGTCCCCCATATGGATTCTAGGACCTGGGCGTCAGCTCTCTCCGGTGGGCCCCAGCCAGGCAGAGACCTGAGATGGCGGCGGGTCCCCTCCCCTCCAGACCCAGAGCTTCCTCCGGGTTTCTCTCCTACCGTATTTCCTGTATCCCGAGACGTATATCCCCTCTCCGCTTCCCCCGGGCTCCCTACCCTACCCCATTTTAACATTTCTACAAGGATGGGTCTTTAGGAAAGATGCGTTTATGTAACATAATGTTTTCCATCATCTCTTCCCCTTAATGCAGCGAATGCGATAGACAGTCGTATACAATCTATGCAATGTTATGATTAGAAGAAATTGAGGTTTACTCCTAAATCATAAACTCTACATTGATTATTGACGGGCGCGAAGTGGGAGGGGTGGGTTGGGCGAACAAAGAAATTATTGAAGAGCTAAGGGCTTTAGGAGTCGCAGACGATTCTTTCAAAACAATATACACCCGTGATAGTTTACGAAGGTGCAAAATAGAACACTGGAACTGACCTTGGAAATGGACTTGGAAAATAAATTCACCGTATGTCATAGAATCTAACATAACTTTTTTGTTCATATTTTAGCAAATTAGATACCTCTGAAGGCTTACCTTTTAAAAAATGTGTCAGCATTTGGGACATCTTGGACAACTGATGGCATGTCATACTTTAATTGGCAATGTTTATCCCCCCCCCCCCCCCCCCCGAGAGTTGTGGAAAATAACGATTCATCTTGCTATCACATGTTTTATATTCTATGATATACGGTAGCAACCAGAAGCTGGGGGTGCAAATTGGCTTAGAAGAGGCTACTAGAACTTACTTCAACATTCACACCCATCCCCCTTTGGCTTCAGAGGAACTGGACCTCACATTTCCAGCATTGTTCTCATAAAAAAAAAGGGGGGGGGGGATAGTTCAATCCTTAATATCAAAATATAATGGCACTTTGAACATTCTGCTAAAAGCAAACTTTGTGATATTTAAGTAGTTGATTAAACACTTGGGACATTACTTTCCAGGAGATAATGCTTTCCCCCTCCCCTTGCAGAACTAGTGCCATAATCAGATATAATGCAATTAAAGCGCTTATTAACCATGATTGCCTCTCATCTCCACCATCTCCGCCTTCCTCCAAGTACCAGCGCAGCTTTTAATGTAAATTAGATGCTCAGAAAATGTTGGGAATATAAATGACCCTATAGTTTTCTCTGAATAGGTTAAGAGAAATATGTGAAGGGGAATCAAGAGAAAAAAGTTCTAGAGCTAGAGGAGGAGTTAGGACGACACGGCTAGATGTGGGGATCAGTAACATGGATGTGGTAATTGACATCGTGAGAAGGGAAGCTATCTCCAAGAGAAAATATAGAGAAGTGGGCTAAAGGCAGAATAAGTGAGTCATTAGCGACAGAAGAAGAGAAGCTTGCCACAAAGGCTAAGAAAAATGGCCAAAGTCAGAGGGAAGAACTCTAACCCAGGGTTTCTCACACTAGACACTATTGATATTTGAGGACAGATGGTTCTTGGGGAGGTGGGGAGAGGCTGTCCTGTGCATTGTAGGATGTTTAACAGTATCATAACCCAGCCCAGTAGCACTCACTTGTCCCTTTCCTAGTGTTTTTTAAAATATACATTTTATTAATTTTTTACAGAGAGAAAGGGAGATGGATAGAGAGTTGGAAACATCGATGAGAGAAACATTGATCAGCTGCCTCCTGCCACTGGGTATGTGCCAGCAACCAAGGTACATGCCCTTGACTGGAATTGAATCTGGGACCCTTGAGTCCCCAGGCCAATGCTCTATCCACTGAACCAAACCGGTCAGGGCATTTTTTTTTTTTTAAATCTCAGGAAATGTCATGCCTTTGACCCAGTAGAAGTCAAACTTTGAGTCTTTATTTTTTTATATTAAAGAATATTTTATTATTTCCCAAAGTAAGTGAAGTGACAGTTTTACAATCTTTTTACATGGGTCTCCAAATCCTGGAGACTAGAGACTTTAAGAGTAAAAGTTGAAATGCAGTTATTTTATAGCTATAGTTTTAGTAAATTAAGAACAATATGTGCCCATTTTAGTGAAATTACGGGAATTTTTACAATTATATCAAATCCAGCTGGCTTTGATTTATTATAAACATTTGACTTGAGGTGACAACAATCTCAATTTAGAGAGGCTGCCATCAACCTGCACTCTTTCTGTTTCAAGGGAGTTTATTTATTTTTAGTTGTGGTGAAATACATATAACAAAACACACCTCCTTAACCGTTTTAAGTATACAGATTAGCAGTGGTAAGTATATTCCCAATGTTGTACAAACAACCTCCAGAAACTTTTCACACACATTAAACATAGCTTTTCATTTCCCCCTCTCCCCAGCATTTCCCAACTGCCATTATACTCACAACTGGATTTTTGCTCATTTATTTTGTTACAGCAAGATGGAAAATGAAAGCCTTGTACTTTGAGGTTTCAAAATAATTCTCCCCATCATGTTTTCCATGTTAACCTTCCCCCCCCAGCTCGCCCCCACCTCCCAACAGTGACAAATTAGCAGAATGTGAATCATGGAACCAGAAGGGGGCACTGTTAAATTGAAGAACCAGATTTAAAAGGGTCTGTAGATCTGAATTTCTTTCATAATTTCAAGTGCCCAAAGAGAGGTGCAAAGACAAAGAACAAAGCTGAGCTCACCTCTGGGCGACGTTAATCTGTTTTCATAATTTTTTTAAATTGAGAAGTTGGTTAATTCATTGTGATTTCTTTAGGAAATGAGCTTTCATCTCAAGGTCAAGATTTTTTCTCTTCAATGTGGAAATATAAAGGACTTCTCTGTCAATTGAATCTCAAAGGGAAGAGGGAAGGTGGGCCAGGAAGAGATTAACCAAAGAATTTATATGCATATATGCACTATCTATGGACACAGACAATAGGGTGGTGAAGGCCTGGGACAAAGCAGGAACCTGGTGGAGGAGGGCAATGGGGGGACATTGTAATACTCTTAACAATAAAGGTTTAGAAAACTTTTTTTAATGTTGACATTATTGCAGGAATCTTCCTCTTCTCCCTCCCTTATATCTAAGGACACAAGAGTCTTGGAGTTCCTGCAACATTCTCATAAAATGAAAAATGAGAATCACTTGGAGGGAGAATACTGTTAACGAAAAAACAAACAAACAAACAAACAAAAAACATTGAAACCTGTAAAGAATTTTTTGTGAGTTTATTTGAGCCAAACTGTCGACATATGCCGGGAAGCAGAACCTCAACGGATTGAGATAATGCTCCGGAGAATGGCGGGTTACTTTTCTATATTTATACATTGCAGACAAAGGAAAGGGACGTAGGTTAGTTACATGAAATTCATTGGTTATAGATTAGGGAGGTGGGACAGAGCGAAGAGGGGAAACCTCTGGGATAGGGTAAAAAGTGAAATGATGGACATGAGCTTCTTTTACAGAGATGGATACAGGATACTCTAACATAATTAACAGTTGACAATTAACTTGATAACAATAACAATGAGGAATGTCTCCAGGCCATTTGTTGTGCCCTAAGGGGTCCGGGTAAAAGGAAGTTACAAGTTACCCAGACATCTCACAGATTTGTTATCTTAGATGCTAGAAGACACGTGGGCTCAGTAAAGTATATCAAAGTTGACCTTTGTCAGGTGAAATATCTGGGACATGACTACGGTACCTACTATAACCTGTTAGATAATTAATTTTCAAACCATCTTTTGTGGTTATCTTAGGTCTCTGGATTTGCAAGACTGCCACGCAGGCCTTCCTGAGCTTGTCAGGTTAGCATGTGGCTCTTTTCTTTCACAATACACATATGATGTTTTGGTTTTATTTTAGGTTAATGTATTATTTAACTAGAACTTTTTAAGAACTCTATGAAATATCCAGTTTTTATACTTAGCTTTTTGTTTTCTTTTGTTTTGAACTTAACCATACAGCTTGGCAAATTTTCCAGATAACACATTCTTTATTCTCATTTTTAAATGTCCTTTTAAAGGCTTTACAAAATCCCAGTTTATGGATTTATCATAATTTTTAAAATTTTATTTTTATTATTGATATTATTACAGATGTCCCCATCTCCCCCCATTGCCCACCTCTATCCAGCCCCCTTGCCCCCCTTCCCTCTGGCCATTAGCACATTCTTGTCTGAATCTATGGGTTATGCATATATGTTCTTTGGCGAATCCCTTCACCTTCTTTCATTCAGTTCCCCCAACTCACATCCTCTGACAGCTGTCAGTCTGTTCCATGTATTCATGCCTCTGTTTCTATTTTGTTGGTCTATTTACTTTGTTCATTAGATTCCACATATAAGTGAGAGCATATAGTGTTTTTCTTTCTCTGACTGCCTTATTTCACTTAGCATGCTAATCTCTGGGCCCATCCATGCTGTCACAAAAAGTGAGATTTCCTTCTTTTTTTATCGCCATTGTGTAAATGTACTACAGGGTGTTTTTTTTTTTTTATCCACTTATCTACTGACTAGTGGCCTGGTTCATGAAATTCGTGCCCAGAGGGGGTTGTCCCTGAGTCTGGCCTGTACCCTGTCCAATCTGGGACCTTGTGGGATCAGGCCTAAATCAGCAGTTGGACATTCCTCTCACAATCTATAACTGCTGGCTCCTAACTGCTCACCTGCCTGCCTGATTGCCCCTAACCACTCTGCCTGCTTGCCTGTTCACCCCCAACTACTCCCCACCAACCTTCTTGCCCCCACCTGCCCCCCTGATCACCCCCAACTGCCCTCCCCTCCTGGCCTGATCGCCCCTAACCATCTCTGCCTAGGCCCTGCCACCATGACTTTGTCTGGAAGGACATCTGTCTGAAAGATCCCTCAGACTAATTAGCATATTACCCTTTTCTTAGTATAGATGGGCACTTGAGCTGCTTCCAAACCTTGGCTAGTGTAAAGAACTCTGCAATGAACATAGGGGTGCATATAAAATTTTTACAAGAAAACAAGGGCACAACTTTACG